TTGGTTGTTATTGCTTGTAGATCATTATAATATATATTTTATGTTTTTAGTTAGTTTAATTGAGGATAAAAGTTTATTTATATTATTTATAATATTTTCAAGTAAGTTTTATTATATTTTTTATTATGATATCAAAATATTATAATAAATTAATTTTAAATTTTATTTAGATGTTTTATTCTTAAATTATTATAAATACATATTTGAATCATAGTATAATATATCAAATAATTATTTAGTATATTTTGATTTCATTTAGCAAATCTATAATATTTTCAAGTATGTTTTATATCATTTTCATTCAGATAGTAACATATCAAAAAAATCATAATATATGGAAATTTTATGAGGAACAATTTAAATATTTTTTAATTAAAAAATATTTTCCCAAGAAAAAAATAGGGGTACTAATAAGAAAATACCCACAGAAATCGCCTATCCATTTTACCCATTTACGGTTTTCTATTTCCTCTATATGAAGAGACCAATCACTAGAAAGGTAGAAAAGAGTGGTAGAGGCGTACCTTTTAACTATCGAGCAGCGCCTCAGATCGAACTCTTTGTGCGGTGCAAACAATAGTCATCCATCTCGGAACACACGCAGCACGACGCCGAGCTGGTTTCGAGTGCGATGGAAGCGGCATCGGGGGCGGCGGCCGGAGACGTAGAGAGCAGTGCTGCTGTGAATCGCTGGACGGTGTCGACGAACTGGATCGTCACCGGGGGATCCCTCCATGACGCCATATCCTTCGAGACTTCCGAGGAGGACGCCCCCACCGCCCCCGGGATCTCGACGCCTCTTATCCTCCTCAGGCCCCCGGCAGAAGCGGCGGCTGAGGAGGAAGAGCGCGGCTTCCTTCCCTGCGAGGTGACGGGTAAGTCCACTGACCTTGACATTATCTTTGGTAGATTGTGCAATACATCAAATTGGCAAACGATTGTAGTGGATGATATGAGGGGAGGCTTTGATCTTATATGATTTCCTATGCAACAATTTTTTTGGTTGATTCGATGTGGGCTTCCGTGATGTGGGGCTCCATAGATGTCTGGAACCAATTATACTGAAGTATTTCGGGAATTCTTCTTTTGGATCCTTCCAATCCACAGAATTTTAGGGTTTCACGTTCTTTGGAACGAGTATCTGCAACCAGTTAACTAATATCTGAGGTTGATTTTTAGATATATCCTTCTCTCAACCAAGCTTATATGGTTCTGGTGCCATCAAGTTCCCCTTCTTTCTCATCAACTAGGATTCGTGCTATCTTCTTTATGTATGTCAGTGTGAGAAATGACATGAAAGAGTACTACTAAATAATTACGTATGATATATACTACAATACTCAATTTTAGGTGTGTCAGAGGGAGGGAGGGTGGAGCAATCGATAAAAAATGTTTATTTAGTGATGAAGCTAACCCTAATTCTGGTTCCATCAAGTTCCCCTTTTTTGTCATCAAGCAATTTCCCCCCTCGTTTGGCAATTGACTCTAGGATCATTTTCTGCAGTGGCAATTGCTTCCCTAAGATTTCCTAGGTAGTTGCTCGAGATGGGATGTACACTTTTCTTTATGAAATTGCTTGGTCAAGATATACTCGTGGGTTAGGATATGTTCCGCTTAACAAGGGCTTCTCTAGTTTGAGAGTGAGGAACTTCCATGATAATACACAAGGTAAAAGAAGCAATACTGGGAATAAGGAAAAAAGGTATGCCTTTATGCTTTAACAGTTCTCATATATGTACAAGAGTTGTGGGAGAAAAATTTGCTGTTTAGAGATCTGTTGTCCAATGAAATCTTTACTAGACGCGGTAACTAGAATTTTCCATACAAATTCTTATAACAAAATAACTTGTCTTCCTGTTCTATTCGAGTATTAGGATTCTTAGATCCAATTAGATGCAATATAAATATAGAGTTTTTCTATAACATCAACTAAACATGTTGAAACATAATACATATAAATATAATTGAATAATGAAAAATCTAACTCTATTATCGCCAAGAGTTGCGGGAGGCTTGGACTTTTTTTTCCTTACTTGGCTGCAAGTGGACTGGAAGCTTTTCTCCGTCCATCTTCACTAGGATTGGCTGTCCATTTCTACCTTTAGCTGGATGGACCTCTTTTGCTTATCTTGAGCCATGAAGTAGTCCTCCATTGATTAGTTATTGTGTTACATGTTGCTCTATTACGCCCATATCTTGGTAAACTGGCCTTCTTGTGCTGAATCCTGCTGAACCAACGTGCGAGGATTGTACCAAGCTATCAGACCCGTATTTTTGCCATTTGATGCCCCAGTAGGTTGATTTATGATTGAATAAACTCTTGCAAAGCTGCAAATTGATGTGAGTCCAGGTTTGGACCACATGCTGATTGGTACCTATTATAAATTATAATAAAACTATGACATATATGCTTTGTGGTGACAAGCATCACTTGAAAATTTTAATTTATTAATTACCTATAGAAGTGCCAATTATCTTTTTCAGTCGCCACCAGCAACTCTCTCTCTCTCTCTGCAGTCTCTCCTCCCTGCTTAATCTGTTCTTGTTTTCTTTTCTTCCTCATTATATGATTGTGGTTCAATACTCATGATACTACCTCCCACATCCATGTAATCCAAGCTCAATTTATGATTATATTTGATCAGTTTAGGCACAAGTCCAGCTTGAGCCTAGTTTATGTGTGATGCCAAGCCTTTTATTGAGTTTTAGATTATTATAATTTGTTGCATTTATTTTGTCATCATTCTACTTAGGATAAGTAATCCAGACATCCATTATTATAAACTAATTCCTATATGCTAGAGTTTATTTGAACATGAATGGTAGTCAAAATTAAAGTTATAGAAAAGGTATTAGGCTCATTGGCTGTTTATTGACTTGGTCTTAAGATCACTTAGATGAACTAATAATTGGAGCATATGAGAGAAGCTCGTGACAGAAATGTTCACTTGAATTGGTTTCTTGTGAAAAAAATATCATCTGCCAGTTGTGTTTTGTGCATTCTCTATCTGTTCATTGTTTAATAATTCTGTTCTTCCTCATTTTACATCTGTAACTTTCATGTCATCTGTGTTCAACAACAAAACCACACATCTCTATGATGAATCATTTAAAAATTATGAAGTTATATCAGTTCAGGTGTTATTATTTGAATTTAAATACTCATGGGAAGCAAGAATAATAAAGTTATATCAGTACTTCAGATTGCTTGTTTTGACTTTGTGGACAGAAGCATTTATCGGCTGTAACTCAACTTATTGAGGTTTGTGTACCTTCCTAGACTATATGGATGCACTTCTTCTGAGAACTATAGTTTGTTAAAGCACCAATGCATTACTGAATCATTGCATATTTCTCAAACAGCAGCCATCTTTTCGTTCTTTAGCTAATTTAGCAATTATTTGCTCTGCTGCAGTTTGTTTGAATAGAAAATATGAAATACATAGGATATATGCTCGCAGTACAGCTCGAGTATACGAGGTATACTATGCCACAGACAAGCAGAATAAATGCAAGGAATATCTGTGCACTGTGCGCTGTGGTGTTGCTTCTGAAGAAGTGACACCATCTTCTGATGTGGCTTCTTTCGAATGTGAGAATGGAAGTTATGCAACTTCAGATAAACAAGACAAGATGTCTCTTGCTGATAGTAACAGTAGCAATGAGGATGGCTGGGTAGAAGTGAAGATACCTGACACCCCTTCACATGATCACAAAATTAATGTTCTACCAAGGAAAATTGATGGAAATTCCAACACAGATTGTCAGGTAATTATGGTTTCGTACCATTTTATTATGCGTCACTTTGTTTGTCATGTTATTCTTAGTTTCTTACAACTTGTGACTTGCAGATATATTATGAGGCAACAGCTGATATTTCCGATGCCAGTCCTTGTATGTCTGTCACACTACGCTTCCTTTCACTTAATACCAAGACTTGTGTCCATGTGTCAGAGATTTACATATATGCTGACCCTGTTGAAACCGACACTCCATGTGCTCCTGTCAGTATGGGGGAAAATTTTGGAGGAAATTCTCTATTGGCCATGTTTATGCCGAGTCTTTTGCAATTATCTAAATCGGGAACTAGCACACAAGACAAATTTTTTGGTGCCTCGGCATTGCGTAAGTATCAGTATGGTGTGCAAAAGGAAGCCGAGCTAGTAAGCTCAGATATGGCAGTTGTTATGCCACAAGAAGCAACATCTGATAAGGTAGATTGTACACTGGGGCTTGATCATAAACAGGTTCAGTTAAAACCAGAAAATACATTTTCCACATCAGACCAGAGGATAACCGACCAAGAAGTACCATCTTGCTCGGTGGATCAAAAATTGAATCAAGTACGTGATCAGAGTGAGATAAAACCAGAAAACATGCAGTTGGGATCTAATCAGAAAATAACAGAGAGAGAACCATCTTCAAGTACCTCTATACAGGGAACCAAGGCAAGAACTGAAAATGTACAATCAACATATAGTGAGAAACAAATTGGTCTTGTTCATATGTCAAAATCATCTGCTCAACAAGAATACAAAGCAGGTGATCGTATTGAAAGGGTTCTGGATGAACTTGTTTCGAGGGTGACAAGAATAGAAGCATTCTGTTCAAGATTTGAGGAAAGCTTGTTAAAGCCGCTCAGTTGCATCGAGACAAGACTTCAGAACCTGGAGAGGCTATTTCACACTGCAGGAGGTCAGTTTCCTCGACAAGGTGCATGTACAAGGATATCAGCCCCAGAATTTTCATCCGATTTAGAAAATGACAGTTTGAACCCTTCACCTGCATCAGGGGATAACGATAAGGATGATACTGTTCTTCATGATCCACCATTACCAGTTGATGCCATGCTGCATCCATCATTACCGGCTTCTGGTGTTACAGGCTGTGTCCCGGATTCTAGGATATACCCAGGTCTGGTACTTAAGGCACCTGAATTCTCCAACGAAGATGATGAATGTTTAAAGTATGATGCTGGTCTAGCTTCTGATGCTAATTGTAGTCAGGATAAGAAGCTTTGTTCCACAGGCAACAAAGATTCTGACGGTATTAAAGATGATGTGAGTTTAGCTTCTGACTTGAACTGTAGTGAAGATAAGAAGCTTTCATCTTTTGACCACGCATTAGCTTCGGCATTGCAAGCATTTTTAAGCTCAAAGCCCAACGCGACTGTGATGGAACCTTACGAGATTTGTGCTGGTGATGAAAGTGTTCTCAATCCTTCTCTTATTAAAGTTCTCTCTAATGGAGCTGACACTTCTGTCAGCACATTGAATGAAGTAAAGGACACCACGGTTAGTGACTCTTCATTTCCAGTTTCAGGAGCTTCTGAAAGGTCTGTCAGAAATCCTGAATGCGATACTGGTTGTAGTATACGAGGCATCTCAGAGGTCTCTGCTGCTTTAGATGGCTCATCAACACCTGTTGATGCTTTGGTCTCTTTTTTGCCTGCCCCTGTGATGGATTCAGGTTTGATATTCAAGGCACCTGAGTTTTCAAGTGATGAAGATGAGTTTGATAATTATGATGATATGACAGAGACTAATAGTCATAATTTCCATGAAGATGAAGCATACATGCGCATGGATGGTGAAGCGGTCTCTCAAATAGTGGCTTTTCTTTCCTCGGAGAAGCTCAAGACTTCCAACTGCACTTCGAATCTGGTAGCCATTTCATCTGACCCTTACAATGTTGATAAGAGTGAAACATCTTCATTAGTGGTTGGAGTTCCATGTGAAGGAGCTGATGGACTGGACACCCAAAATCATGGAATCAGTACGAAAGATACTGATTTCAGCATCTTGACTAGTAAAACTGGTTTGGACTGCGATGAAGACGAGCACTGGCTCGAGAGAGCAAGTACCAGTCCCCTTGGGTGTTCCTTGGAAAAGAGAGGAGACCAAGTGAAACTACATGGATATCATTCCACTTCGGCAACTGCATCAGAGGGAAGACTTCTCACGGAGGATCTGTCTCATAATGTGAGTTTTATATCAGATTGTAGTGCTAGCAAGGATTGGCAAGGAGGTCTACTTAATGACAGCGATGATGATCAAGTAGATCCTGGTGGAGCAAGCCTGATCGAACTTGGTAAAGGATGGACCGGGAGCAGTAGCACATTCGCAAGCTTGGTCACCGATTCCATCAAAAATAAAGATCAGGTTGGCGTCATGGATTCATCAGCTTCCACTGCTGACCACTACGATGGGCAAGCTGCAAATGAAACTGGAAGTATACATGAGAACACGATGAGTGCCGCCGGCCAAAGCAACATTGCTTCAAGTGCCAATGACTCCAGCAGTCCCAACGATAATTATGCAGGCTGTAGACTCGAACAAACACCGACTTCAGCTTCATCCTCTGATGATCCAATTTGGGATGTCACGTTTGTTCCTGAAAGAGATTGGAGCAGTGGAGTTCCACTACAAGTTTTGCTGGGCGAATCATGCGATGATGAGGTTCAAGACACTGCTGCCATAGATGCCACTGAGTACTGTATCGCAACAGATAAGCTTCTCGAAGGGATGGAGAACCTTAGCCTTACAGGCGACAGTTCTGACTTACGCAATGACTCTGGCTGCATCAATCAACAAAACTTCCCTAGTTTAATATAGACTGCAAAGAACCGAATAACTGTGTTCAGATGTTTATTGGGTATAAATTTGGTATCAGAATTTAGCATGAAAATAAAGGTAAAGAAGGCACAACAAGACACTCTGTATCGGGACAAGCAGTAGAAAGCTCTATTTGTGGGCATCTGATTCTGTTAATGGTTGCATCTCATCCCATAACACGTAAGTCCTAACCTAGAAAGAATTGATGATAATGATGGACATCGAAGTCCGACTAGTAATTATACATGAAATAGGAATAGTATATAATTATGTTTTGCTTTTTATTTCGTTTTGATTGAGAATGGTCAACATAAATATCGGAGATTACTATTTAAAATTCTCATTTTTTACTATTTATAATTTTATTTTATTTTATTAAAAATAAATTATATATATATAATATGCATATATATTTATTTTTTTTAATTTTGTTTTTCTTCCTTCTTAAATATTATTTTTTAACACGAGTTCCGTGTCGGACCGAATCTCGAAGACCGAGAATTCAACGTCACCACTTCCATCGTCGTCTTCCTCGGCACCCCTCTTCTTCTCCTTGGCAGACTGGCCTGTTGGTTCGGCTTCCGTCCGTTTTACCTCCGGCTTCTCAGGTGAATCAAGACTTCCTTCTCGATCTGAGGTCGCCGTGTATCTCTGTTCTTCTTGTAATTGTTATTTTTGGGCACAATGTCGTGGTCGATGAGTAGAATGTATCGAAGGGATTTTATGCCCGGCCTGCGTCGATGCTACTTCATGCTTGCTCGTAAAGAACACACAGAAACCTCAAGTGGTTGATGGATGGGACCAATTACGCACGAAGGGTCAGAGAGGGATTAAACAAGTCCAAGCGCAAAAGTAGGCATGGATCCCACTTGTTATATCGATTTCAGCCTGTTGCCCTAACATTTAGTTTTAGATCGAGTTGTGAATACTGGTTTTCCTGGTGGAAGAAACTTGAAATCTGTGCTCTACTCTGCCCGTTCTTTGTTTGGCGTTTATGTTTCATCACAACTATTTTAGTCATGGCACAAAATTTTAGTGCTTTGTGGAGCCCACACTTTAGGCCCAAGTAATTTGTGGGCATTGCTGAAGCATCACCATCCAAATGGAGTCATGTCTCTTGGTTCGATTGAGTCTAGATTAGACTTTGAAGATTTTCTATAGGATACAGTCTCATTATTAGTTGATGTTTTATATTTTGTTTTATTGAAAATATGATAAGATATGATCCTATCTCTAACAGGTTCTTGATTACTTGTTACTTTTTAGATGACACATGAGGTAGAATCAGTATGTTATGCAATATCAGAAGTGGTTAAACAAGTTCTTGTGCCCTTCCTTCTTTTCATATGACAAGTGTTTCTTTTATCTTTCTAATCTTCTTCTGATCCAGTTTGTCATCTTCTCACATTTTCACTCTCTTTATGACTTGATATCTATAGTGTCATCTTAATTTAAGAATTTTACTATTTTAACATGGTGAGATTTTGCACCATTTGATTGGGAAAGACAATATTGACTTTGTGTGTTTTTCTAATTCAATTAGGACTAAAACTTCTCTCAGACAGGAGGGCTGAGTTGGAATTGAATCAAATTTTGACTTGGAGATGGTGTCATATGGCCGACGAATGAATCTTCTGATCACTCATAAAAAGATGCTAATCAAGTTCTCATCACAAATTTACTTCTGCATTAATAAGTCCCTCTTGTATCTTCAAAATGATCCAACCATGGTTGTTTGAGGCCTTAAAAAGATTTAGTTGAACTCTTGTATCTTTCTCTATTTATTGATTGGTGTCCTAAAGGCCAATCATAAATATTGAGATTCATACATTATGACACACTTAGTGCCCCTTTTTCTTACCGAAATTGATATCTAATTGGACTTAGGGGTGAAATTAGTTTATTTGTGAGAAATTAGTTTATAAATTGGAAAGTGTGGACTTTGGCAAATAGAGATTCAATCATTTGTGAGAAATTGGGAAGGGAATATTGTTTATTTGACAGGACAGCTTTATAAATGTGGCTTGGCATGGAAAGGAACCTAAAACTAATAACCCATTTGGATGAGATTATAACACTCTGATTAGTCCTACATCGGAAATGGGCAAGACTAATATTGACTTATAAAGGTCTGATGGGTATACTATATCAACTTCAGTTTAAGCATTTTGACCAATGGTTTAGATCAAATGAAGTTGGTAGATCAGTTATTTATTAGGCTCGGGTTATGAAAAGAGAATATTGTAACATCCTGATTAATCCCATATCAAAAGTGAGCAATATTAAGGGTGACTTATAAGAGTTTGATGAGTGTATAATTATCAACCTCAATTTAAGTATTAAGTATTTTGACTAATGGTTTAGGTTCAACGAAGTTGATAGGCTAGTTAGTCTTTCAAGTTTGAGTCATGACAGCGATAGCTCTTCGCATTGGCATCCATACTTTTTTTTAACTACAATATAGAAGTATAATAGTGGCTAATTCAACATGACAACATTTCCTAATCGTTTGATTTTTATTCTTTCTAATAACTAATTCACAACTGACTTAAACTGTTCTAGGGGCACGCTTGTAAAGGTTAATAAAGTTTGTTATTTGAAAGTTCCCTTGAATTACTCCTTTTATTAAGTACAACAGCAATTTCAGTAGTGCTTGTATGTGACATGAGATGTTGCTTACTTTTGTCCTGAACATTAGCTATGGAGCTTATCAAATTGGTTATTTGCAGAAATGGATGGTGTCACTAGCTCAGGCTTGTTTCCATTGCAGCGTTGCAAAACTATCCACCTGGTTTGTTTTAATTAAAATTTTTCCTAATTACTCTTGTATCAAAGAGACTTCTTTTGACCTCAAAGTTTAGTCAATTATGCAATGCATATGTAGGTTAGGCATGCACAAGGTATTCATAATAAGGGACATGAAAAGGACCATAGAGCATACTCATCTCCAGAGTTCTTTGATGCGCACCTTACTCCACTGGGATGGGATCAGGTACGTTTGATACTTTTTTGTAGTCATATGTGCAATTTTTGTTCATTAGAGATTTTGTGAGAGAATTCATTGTACCACTCAATAAGCTCATTGTAACAGACTTATTGGGCAGCAAATAGGCCGGTATCGATTGGTACTAATTGGTAAGCTTGTTGCTGAATACCCATATCCTGTTTTCAAAGTAACAATAGTTCACAGCTATATCTCTTTCCCTCCTTCGCCACCTTCTCTTCTTCGTGTTGCCACCGCCCTTCTCCTCCTACTGATACGTGTCATCACCTCCTCCTTTCCGCATCCTCCTCTTCTCTTCCACCTCCTCCTCCTCCTCTGGCCAGACTTGTGACAGTCAACATGGAGGTGGATCTGATACATTATACACCGAACCGTACTGCTACAACACCAGGCTGCTTAAGAACTGGCATTGGTACCTTTCTAAGATTTGAAATCTTGGAACTAGTAAACAACCAAAGCTAGCACCTATTTCGTGACAAAGTTTGGAACCATATATGAGATGTGGTAGGAAAATACACTATTGTGCTCTAAAGAAAGATGACCCGAGGTTAAATTAATCAAAGTTATAATAGTTGTGTGAAATGCAATTTGGAGGATTTAGAATTTATATGGTGAAACTATGAAAGTGCATGTAGATGTCAAATTTCTGCATGATTCTGTTACTTGGATAAAAGTGTTACTTGGTGGAGTGCTAATAGCACAGGTTCAATTACAGAGATGGGTTAGAAATGGGTGTTGCAGATTCAATCAGGTTTTCAATAAACTGCAAGAAAAAATTTAAGAGCCCTTCATGCAAAGTGAGATCAAGAAGTATGTCTATTTTTAAGAAAGATCGATATATGTATGCTATGAGACATGAATAGTTTGCGAGAGCAAATAGATAAAATTCGTTCAGATAAAAACTTCTAACCAACATAAATATGCTCGAGATACAGTTTATTAATTTTGTATGGTAATATATATGCTTCTTGAGTTTATTCTGGCATCTTTGTTGTTATCAGATGTTCTTTTACTCTTACGATCTTAGGTTACTTTTACAGGTTGATAATCTCCGTAAACACATTAAATCTTGTGGCTTATCAAAGAGAATTGAATTGGTTATTGCATCCCCTTTGTTAAGGTATATTTTGTCCAATTTTCTTGTTTGCACTTAAGTACAAAGAAGCACTAAGAGCGCATGTCAAAGCCATGTACTTAACTTCCTATATGTTTTGAAAATATTGCTATGACTTATTGAGTTTCTTATATTTCCCATCTGGTATTTTGGATTTTAAGCATTATATTTCTTTTGCTTAGGACATCAAAGGTTCTGCCATGGGATCAGATATTCAAGGCATATGATTTACATGATGTGTTGGCATGAATTGATTTATAAATCTTTGAAGTGTACTAACAAGGATTTCTGCTGTTTATTAGCATGAAACATTGTAGTGTTTATAGTCTATGGGGCCAGTATTAGTTTGATTTTGCTATAGTCACTCTGTCATGCAAAGTTGATTTCAAATACGTCCTATGGATTTTGAGTCTAAATCAAGCCTATTTAAGAAAGAAGGATCTAAAGGAGTAAGAAAAACTTTTTTGGTTTTGAATTTAATGTGATCCTCCTTGTGTATTTACCATTTCAATTGCTGTTGAATTGTAAATCTCCAGTGATTACCTACACATATAATCTTCTGATGTGAATGGAATATTTGTAAACAGTTAGAGGTTTTTCTTTTAAGTTGTTTCGTCTTCGTGACCTGAAGAGTAGTTTGTGATCTTAACTTTTTAGTAGCTCAGGAGGGCTGAATGCCCATTCAGTTTTAGAGAATTACTATGTTAGTCCATTGTCATGACCTTACAAGTAATTTTATAACAAATTGTTATGAAAAGCTAATTGAATAGGTCATAATTATTATATGAAAATTTAATGTCAGGATTGAAATTAAGTATGATAGATCCAAGATAGAAGGTACGTACCTTCTAAACATGATACTTTGGATGTCGTGATGCAACGCACAGTGATCTGCATGCATCATTAATATGCAGAAAAATGAAATCAGACTCTCATTCTCCTCTCTTCCTTTTACTTTTTTTTATATTATCTTCTTATTTTCAGGACCACTCAGTATTATTATAATCGATGGCCTTTCCTTTTACTCTTTTCTTATATTCTCTTCTTATTCTCAAGACCACTTGGTATCATTATAATTGATGGAGTAGAGGGACCTATCGAGAGGTGAGAGAAGAAATCTCTATGATCATGCTTATAATATGATCTTTGGAAGGTTTCACCTATATATATAGGCGAGAATAGAGGATCTAAAAAAGATAATTATGAGAGTTCCTCTCATCAAGGTCATCTCTTTAGATATTCTGATATAAATGAACTTTTTTTTTATTGATCAATGACCTTAATTAGAATCCAATTATATTCTTTATATTTTAAAACTTTAGAAAGTATTTATAAGCACATAAATTTAAAAAAAGTCAATAAGTCTAATAAATATAATAATATTAATTAAATTAGATAAGCAATACGAGTTATAATGATTGTATATCATCAATATCATACTTCATTCTATATACTACAACACTGTTAGTATTTCATAATGCAGTCCAAAACGATCCTTGTAATTTGTAAGTTACAAACTACATCTCCTTCTCTAATAAAACAGGTAACATTGAGTGACTCATAGATGTAAACGTATATAATCTCAACAAATTCATAAAACTATATTTCATTATAATATTTAATTGTATGGTAGTTGCAAATTCAAGATTCATATTGATTTTGTATAAATCATCATATAGAATTTTATAACCAATTTTAATTGAATAATAAATATACTGAGTTTGTCGTTGTCAAAAGAAAGATGATATCCTAACAATTTTAGATAAAGTAATAAAATTTCTAAAATTATAAAAATATGACATGCATCCGTAAGATTCATTAGATGAATCGTCTCTAGGCGTAGGTGATAAGTATTTACTACTATCGCTTACGCTTTAAGATGATTCCCTGTAATGATAATCTTATATGTTCTTTTAGTTTTGAGTTAAAATAATTCTTTGTATATTATTGGTAACATAAGCTGAAGCATCAGAATCAATCCATCAAATATTAAAAGGATATTTCTGTAATGCTTGATTCGAAACATACAAAGGTCAGCTTATACTTTTTTCTTTCAAACAAAACTTTATAGTCCTCTTCACATTGACCTTTTTTGCCATAGAAGTAGTATTTTAATGTGAATATTTGTTTTTATGAGTTTGCATAACATTTATAAGTTCAACTGATTTATTTGATAAATTATGCTTTAATCTTTTATTGTTATCAACTCCTTGAATAATACATAAAATATTACGAGTCTTTACTACTTTAATCTTAAATCTTCCTAAACATATATATTAGTCAACTCATTTAAATTTTACTTGTCATTTATTTGTATTATAGTGAATTTTAAATGAGTCAAACAAGGAAGGAAGAGAATTAATAATAAATTATACATGAAGAACTCATCTACATTCATATCTAATATCTTTTAAGTTTTACAGTTTTGTTAGTCATAACGATGATATGTCATAAAATTCCTCGAGCATCGTAATACTGAGTTATAGTCAAATCTTTCATTAAGGTGTCAGTTAATGACTTATCAATAATTTTAAATCAATCTTTTAATATTCCAATGCATTAGTTATATTCTGTAATGAAGTCTGAATATTATTAGTAATTATTAAAATTGAGCCAATTAGATATTTAATTATTTATTTCAATTATTTGTCTTGCAAAACTTTCAACATTTGAGTGTGTGATCCTTTCAACAAATAAGATCAATATTTAACTCTCAATATAAATTGCACGTACTCAAGTCATTTATAATAATTTAATTTAAAAAATATCGAATACTAAAAACATAAAAATGCAATGAAGGAAGTGCCATTGTAACAAAGGAATGCAATATTAATACTTTTAGTTTTTTAATAAATATTGAACTATTGATATCATCTGTTTTTTATCTTTGGATAAAATATTGACATATTTAGTATTGACACAAGATTTTATCATTATGAAGGATTGATAACATATTTATGAAATAATATTATTATATTTGGATATACAATAATAAACTACAAGGATATCTAAAAATAAAATCACTTTATCCTGTTATATAATTATTTGAAGTAGATTTTCTTTTAAAATTATTTAAATCTCATTATATATCATTGTGAATATTATTTTTCTTAATATCATCTAAAGAATTACTCTCTCAAACTTAGTGCTTAAACTTCACTTTAGTGACAATGATATATGAGAGTTTAATTTCCCTGCGACTACCTAGATCTTCATGGGACTAACCTATCTCGGTTACTGTGATTAATCTTAATTTTGTTGGGTTTATGTTACGTTGAGTTCGTTTCTCATCAGTGCATCAAGAGAATGTAGGTAAATTGTGATTTCAATAAAGATATAAAGATGTTACAGGACAATGCAAACTGCAGTTGGAGTGTTTGGAGGTGATGGCTATGATGATGGAGTCAACAACACACCTCCTTTAATGGTCGAAAATACTGGAGATAGTGGTCGCCCTGCAATTTCAAGTTTGAACTGCCCACCATTTGTGGTAGTTGAAGACTGTCGAGAGCGCTTGGTATGCCATGGTCTTTTATTCCCCTTTTTTGAAACCTCAATTTCATAAGAGTACTCTTATTGCCTAGTTTATCATCTGTTCGTTTTAGCTGTGGAGTAGTAAGTCTTCCAGCATATATGCCACGAGTTTTTACATGATGTATTCTCGTCTCATGCTTGTCCTCCTTGAATGATTCTTCTCTTGGATTAAATTTATTAGGCTGCACCTACAATTTGATGGAATTTGACATTTTCCATAAAGTCAAGTTTCACTTTGGATTCTGCTTTCTCACTAATTTTCAAGATTTCTCTCCATTTGCAATAAGAGTGTTTTAATTAGTTAAAAGATGTTTTCTTAATCAGTACCAATTCTTATCCTGTAATGGTGATTGCAGGGAGTTAACCCTTGCGATAAGCGGCGAAGTATAAGCGAGTATCAGAAACTTTTTCCCGCAATTGATTTTTCTTTGGCAAGTATTTAATGCTTTTAGTGTTTGGTTGATGGATGTGTAATGTGTAAACTATAAAGTCAGAGAAATTTATGCAAAGTTTTCATCTTTATTGGGTTATGCTCTCTTTCCAGATAGAAAATGATGAAGACATCCTGTGGAAAGCTGATATCAGAGAGACAGATGAAGAGGTTGCGGCTCGAGGAGTGAAGTTTATTAGCTGGTGAGTCATCAACTGTTATGAATTCCATTTTGCATTTCTTCTTTCTTCTCAAGTTCATTATTTTCTAGTTTCTTATGATTATGTTGAATTCCATTTTGCATTTCTTCTTTCTTCTCAAGTTCATTATTTTCTAGTTTCTTATGATTATGTTGATAAGGAAAATGATGGTGATGATATCGTGGTTAGATAAATATTACTTGCTTATAAATATTTTGTATAATCTCGATGAGAATTAGTTCTTCTCTGTCCCATGTTAACTAATTGTAACTTTGACTCTCTCCATTTGATGGCATTGGATTACCTCTTTTTCCACCAAGAAAGCTTTTTAATTTCTTTTCTCTTTGTAAGATGCCAATTCAGAATTCCTATCTTAGACTTTGGATCACACATGAATCTGAACCTTTGTGTGTGAAGAGTTCAGTATAAGTATCGATGAACTGCTCGGTGTAGTTTATTCTGCCATTTTTTTTTTCCTTTCCCAAAGGAGCTCAATTAGAAGAACTGAAAAGTCATTTTGCGTTATTAGAGGAAAAAAAGCATCCTGGTTGAAGTTCTTGGTTGGCCAGTTTTGATCATGGCAATCAGGCAAGAAATAAATTCTGCTTGACAAAGAAAGAAAAACATGAAATTACATTAAACTTGTTTCATCTTATATCCCTCAACATAACATTCTTTTTTGTTTACTTCAAAGGTTGTGTACACTTAAAGAGAAGGAGATTGCTGTTGTAACCCATAGCGCCTTCTTGTTTCAAACCTTGCAAACGTTTGGTGGTGACTGCCATCCCATCATTAAGGAGGAAATCAGCAAACAGTAAGTGGTCATTATGTTATTTTTATTTTAGTTGTAATATGATATGTAATATGATAAGTCTAAGATATCTGTTTGAACAACATCTTTTTGGAATACAAGCGAGAAACTTTGGAGTCCACGAATAAAGACTAACCTAACCTAACCTAATTTAGACTCTCATCACTTTGGTCTAGAAAGTAATACTACCATGAGAAAAAGGATTTAGTCCTTTAATATTTTGAATGAAGATAGGCCAGAATCTTATTTATGACCCTTATCAATTGCAAATGCATCCAAAATTTTCTGGCTTTCAATGTTGCAAAGGATGTAATGAATTTGCTCATATTCTCTTCCACAGATTTGGGAATTGTGAGCTCCGATCCATGCTGTTGGTTGACAGAAGCTAGAGTTTATAGTCGGTCAGTGAATTTGATGCACTTATATGGTGTTAACTATGCTTTGTTTAGAAAATGGTGTGTTTGATGCCACTAATGTCTTTACTATTATTTATGCATCAGTGTTGCATGCAGTACTTGTTCTTAAGGGGCCATTATGACCAACATTCTTTTCCTTAGGTAATCAAACCAAGCATATATTCGACATGGATGCGATGATGATTCCCTACAATATATACATATGTGCATTGAATCTAAATTACGAATGAGCAAGAACAAATCCAAATCTATAGATCTAATCCAAAGCAAAGAATCTGAATCACACGATACTCTGTTCTCAGTCTAAATAAAAGAATCTAAGTAAAACCTATCATTATTTCTTCTCCCAAATGCTTCTGCTATCATGGAATGGAATGGAACGAGATGATCGCGTCATCCATCAATCAAGATTTGTGAATTTCAAAGCATCTCCCTGCGGGTGGCGTAGCTGTACCTGGACCGCTGGATGTTGTCGCGCCGCTTCTTGTAGAGCACCGCCCCCACGGCCAGCACCGCCACTCCCAGTATGAGCCCCGCCGCGATCCCCGCCTTTTTACCCCCGCTCATGCCTCCCTCTCCTCCTCCTCCAACTTCGTCCACATCTGCCCGGACATCCGCGCTTCCCGCTCTCGGCGCGGGGGAAGGCGCAGTGGACGGGGTCGGTGCGGGAGAGAGCGTCTCCGGCGGTGGCGCTGGAGGGGACCCAAGGGTTCCCGGAGACGGGGACGGGGATGGAGTCTTCGATGGGGGAGACGTCGGCGAGGGTGCGGGAGGCGATCGAAGGGGACCCCCGGAGACAGGCGAGGGCGAGGGCGAGATCTGGGACGAGGTCAGATCGGCCATCGAGATGATGAGGACAACGATGGAGATAACCGAGAGAGCAAGCAATGACGGTGGCGAGGAGGAGAGCGCCATCGATGCCAGGGGAGCCGACAGTTGCAGATCTGATGCAGAAAAAGGTGATGTACCGCTTCGCCGTGCGACGTTTATAGTAGGGCGACACTGGAGTACGGTCACCTCTGGCATACAGCTGCGCCGATACCGACCCGATAAAGAGAAGGATCCTGTGCAACAAAATATTCGACCCAGAAGTCCATTACACGATCAGAACCGTTCATCACTAAGTCGGTGGAAGGCTCACCATCATCATAAATGCCCACGTCCGTCAGTTGGAACTTGTATACGTTGTCTCTTGGAGGGGATCTGAATTGGTCCTGCACTGGATGAGGGTGTATGCGGAGTCGGACACGGGAGCCGCACTATTCTCACGCCAACAACCTGAGAAGACTACTGTCGCGTTATACGCGGGCCACGTGAGCGTGGGTAATCGTGTTCCATGGTAAAAGGGGTGAGGATATAGAAACGGTTCAACTTGGTCAGCAGGTTTGGTTCACGTGGAGATGGCAATTTCAATCACGACCCAATGGACCGATCCAATCTGACACAATCAAACCGGGTTTGATCAATTTTGACCAACTTGACCATTATATACATTGGTCAAGGGGTTCTTTTTAGATCCCAGATCGAGATGCGGTATTTGAACGGTCAGGATTGAGTAAAACCCATCCGGAGGCGGTTCATCTTAATCCTAGAAGAGGGGTCGTGCGAGGAGAGGGCGAAGCGGAGGCGAAGCGAAGATGATCGAGGTGGTGTTGAACGATCGGTTGGGGAAGAAGGTGCGGGTGAAGTGCAACGACGACGACACGATCGGCGACCTCAAGAAGTTGGTGGCGGCGCAGACCGGCACCCGCGCTGACAAGATCCGCATCCAGAAGTGGTACAACGTCTACAAGGACCACATCACCCTCAAGGACTACGAGATCCATGACGGCATGGGCCTCGAGCTCTACTACAGCTAAAAGGTTCTCCCTTTCTTCTCTTCTTTGATTTGTTCTTGCTGTTCTAATTTTAGGTTTAGAGATCTGCTCTCTAATATAAATCTTAATCGAAGAATATTTCTATGATTCTTATATAAAAATGTGTAGAAATTTTCTTCTGCATGTTTTAGGGTTTCTATGGACAAAGGTTGGTGGAATTTAATTTTTGTGATCATCAAAATCTTGAATTGTTATATCTTTTTTATTCTGAAATAGTAAAAAAATTTTGTGCTTCATAGGGTTTCATGGATTCTGTGGTTCTAAAATTGTAGGTGCTAGATATGCTGCTGGATATCCTGCTGTTCTAAAAAGATGGCGTAGGACAAACTAAACATAAGATTGTGTTTCTTGGATTTTGTGGTTTTCATACTGAGCGTCGATATACCATATTAATCCAACCGCACAGAGACTCTAATTCATGGTAAGAACTATTCAACTTCTTCAGTTAAAATGACGGTGAGCGAGCGATGTCTCTGTTGAGACATCCGGAATTGGTTAGTGCATTGTTGCACAAGTGATAGGTCTTCGAGTCCACTTGCGAGAGTCCGAATTAGTTTAATGCATTTGATGCAATGAAAATTTTTAATTGAAAAAAAGAAAAATGATGGTGAGTGAATAATAATTTGGAGTCCTAAGGGCTTGATTCTGATTATGATGATAGTGCCATCATGCGAGCGAACAACATATCTACTTATAATGTGAACATGTAGTGCCATTGATGACTTTGTATACAGATTCAAGGAACAAGCTGAGCCACTTGAGGATGGAGATAGTTCCCTTGAACATGGCCCATGACCCAAGGATATCTAGAGAGAGATTGAGTTTAAGGAGAAATAAATAAATAAATTGGCAATTTATTGTTTGTGGTGGCATGGCAAAAAGGGAGTATGAAACATCTGACAGAACTCTGAAAGTTACCCTAGGCCTTTGCTACCTCCATGATGTCCTCTTGGTCACATTCTAGTTTTGGAAGTAAGCTAGATTATGTTGTTTGACGTGGTTCATGGTACATTGGGTAGTCGGCTTATATAACATTATCAACTCATTTATTGGATCTCCAAGTTCATTGTTGCTTAAACCCTCAGTCCGGGCTGTGGTGAAGAATGGACTTGTCCATCGGGTTCTGTTTGACTTATTTCTCACATGGACTTGATGTTTTGATTTCCATTCTGTCCACCCTGTCTCATGGCCTAAATCACTTGACTTCTATCGATATTAGTATCAATTACAAGGTGCATGCTTTCCCAAATTAGATAATACATTAGCTATAAAACCTTTAGCTTAGATGCTCAAGATTTTGCAGCTTGTGCATACTAAGACTTCTCATTAGTATGCTTTATTTGCATTCCTTTGCGCTTAAAGATAGCCAAAGTAGTGTCTGCATACTGCTTTAGCGACTGACTATGGCATATGCTTGTTTCTGCTTTTTTTACTATGTTACGCTTGTTTCTGCTTTGGCTATTACTGGCATGCACATTTTTTATTGCTTATTTGATATTTGAATCCGTGGTAAAGAAGACACAGGCTATGATTTATGCATCATCGTCTTTATTATACTTATCTGTGGCTTTACTGACACATATCGCTACAGATTTCAGTCCTTTACGCTGACAAATGTGGGTTCAATGCAGGTCGGTTGGTTGATCCGAGTGCTCGTAGCCGAACTAGATGAGGGCATCAATCTATCTTTCAAATATGTAATAGCTATGTTGGTACAAATACATTCTGACTATTTAGTGTGCTGCTGGTCAGTCTGGAAATGTAATAATGACTTATGAAACATATGTTTGATGATAATATATGTTTGGTATTTGGTTTGCTTCTTAATCTTCAGTTTCCGTTACTGATGTGGGTTCATACTGTTATCTTCTTGCATACCCTAAAACCAAATGGAAGTCATGCATTTCTTGGATTTGGGTGTGGACAAAAACTATTTGGATTCGAGTTTGTGTTTATTTGTAGGTGACAAGCAGCACAATGATGGATCTAAACGGAAGGATTGCAATGACATTACTAGTCATTACAACTATGAGGATCCCAATCACATCATAGCTTATAACAATTTTGATATATGCAACCGAGTCATTGTGATCTAATATGTTGTGCTGCTCGATCTTATCTTGTTTTAAAGTTTAGATTAAAAAAAACATAAAATAACAGGAACTAACTAATTTCATGCATGGTGAGAATGGAGTTCAAATTTGAGAAGATCATATCTAATTCTAAATCGATTAGATAGTTGGAAAGTCAAGGTCACTCGATCGACAGAATCGTATTCATCTATGTGTTAGTTAATTTAGTTGATAAACATTTCAATTTTTATCATAAAGTTTTAGGTTCCAATTTTATCTTTCTCACTTGTTTTATGTACCACTATGCTTGTGATTTTGGGTGAACAGAGGTTATGAGATCCAAGCACAATGAAAAGAATCATTAAAATGTAAGAAATACCTGAATCGAATCACACGAGCTTGCCTCTCGGTCATTAGGTAGAGATGACTAATTAAGTATTATCCCTTTTAGCCAGCTATCTTTGAGGTTTCTATACTTTAAAAGTTACACTAGATCTCTATAGATACAAAGTGAAATATATACGTTCATTTATCCTAATATAAATATGAATTTTAAGGTTAGTTTTATCGATGAAAATATAAAAAATAAAAGATAAAAATAATAATTTTAATGTTCTAATTGGTGGTAATGGATAACGTAGGTGACGGATGATAATGTCACTAGGGGTTGTAGATGACTGTTGTGAATGAGGAGAGCGGTGACGAGAGTTGGGTTGCTCTACATCTGTGTCGACGTCAACATAGTTGCTGAGTGATAAAAGAGCCACATGACATATGTATTAGCATCAACGCAGATGCAAAGCGACGTTGCTCGACATCTGTATCAACAATCCATTTATCGTTCGACAATTACATCGACGCCGATGCAAATGCATGCAGAGCGACGACACTTGATAATTATGTCAACATTGACACAAATGTAGAGTGGTCATCACCTCTTGTCATCACTCTCTTCATCTACGACAGTCATTTGTGGCCCCAACGATATCGCCGTTTGTTACCATCGACTAAAACTTTAAATTATTTTTTTATCTTTTATTTTTATATTTTTGTTAGTAAAATTGATTTTAGGATAAATAGGTTTAGATGTTTCATTTTCTTAATTATTAATTAAATATACTAATATTATTTTTTAAAATATAAGGATTAAAAAATTATAAAAAGATATTTAATTATAAAAAAGATAATATATAATTAGCCCTAAAGAGTATGCGAACTTTAGTGACGGCTCCATAATTTGTGTGGAGCAGCCGAAAGAAAGATTGCCACAATCATCTCTTATCCATATGTAGTACTATAATCTCGCAAGTTGTTTCGTAGGCCCAAAAGTAATAGCAATCATCCAACAAAGTCTGTCACTTCCAACTGTTAGCAACTTGATGTGTTATATTGTATGTGTAGGAAAGGGGCAATGGCCTCGATCATGCTATGGCACTTAGGTCTTTATCTTTTTATTAATGCAACTTGGTATAAACATTTAGAGCAATTAGGGTTACACCTAAGTGCCATAAATTTGGCATTAGCATAAAATGAATATTTATTTTCAAGAAAAAATGCAATTAAACTCCAATGTATATAGTATAATGAATGAATGAAACTCCGATGTATATAGTATAATATCCAATGTATATAGTCACTTCACAAGTTAGGTTTGAGAATGAATGAAACTCCAATGTATATAGTATAATATCAAATTAAGAAGGGGTACTGTATGAATATTTTAAATAAATCTTAAAAAATAGATATAAGATTCTGACTTATAACCTATTATGATACAATGAGCATAAATCCGAAAACTTTGAACTATAAGAAAACAACCCGAAATGGTTTAACAATAATATTCATGCACTACGGTGTAGTTTTTGTTTCGATCTTTGTTGTTGTTGTTGTTGTTGTTGTTATTATTGTTGAAATCTAAATAACTTCTTAATTTATTCATCTAAAATTTTAAATTTGACTCTTGTTTCAGTTAATCAAAATCGAAGATGTATTTTTAACCAAAATTATTTGTTCACTAAGAAAAATGATCGGTGTTATAAACATAATTTACTACCACCCATGGATGGTAATTTTCACTCAAATATATATATTTTAGATTACTTGTAATTTTGATACTTGGGATATGTTGTGGTCCCTTTAAATATATGACACTCTTCATACATAGTGCAATATTGATCATCAAAATAGAATATCATGAATCAAAATTTAAAATGACTTTTTCCTCATTATTAACACCAAATGCTTCTATTTTAATCTATCATTTATTTAGTACATTAAATTACCCTCCTCGGTAGACAACTTGGCTCAATCATTAATTAATAAATCGAATGAATATGACAACCATCTCAAACAAAAACGAGAAAGAGAAGAAAAGGAGCACTAAACATCATCCTACTTGCCAAACAATTTGGCAAAGCGACCATGACAAAGACGATGACCTTAAATAGTCAATTACAACACGCAATTTGCTAAAGACATCGAACAAGATGTAAGTTAATTGGGTTTGGAGGAAATGACATCAATGTCGAGCACTAACATTCCTCATCCTTTAGATTAAATAGCACGCATCACTTGTTTGTGTGAGTCCACAATGACATATTAAATCGATTCAATCATTGGCCAATCTTTAGATGAATCAGATGTTTATGAGCATAGAATAAATGTATTCATAATTTTGTTATGTTGTCAATAATGTAGAAAATCTTCACATGTGTGAGATAACAAAAAAATAAATGAATGATTCTATTGAGTTTGGTATACAATATGATAAATTTAAATTTTTAGTTCAAATTAGTATCCAATTTGATGTATTTAACTTTGATTAATTTAATTTAGATAATATCATTGTTTATTGAATCAATATGCTTTAAGGAGACAAAGAAATCAAACTAATTACTATGTTAAGGAGACTAAGAAGCGTGATGACGATAAATAAGTATCGAATTTTATAATTGATTATAATAGTAAATATTTGTTAGATGAAAAAATTATTGATGTCTTAATCAGCTCAATGTAGTTCGAGCCTGTCAACACGAGATTTGTCCAAGGAAGTTTTGAAATGGTTCCAAGGTAGATTTGAGATGACTTTGAGGTAGCTCCGAGGTGGGTGGAAGTATTATACTCCGGATGTGCCATCTGAATGAAAATTAAGGTTGGGGGAGGTTTTTCAACCTAATCACTCCGATGCTCAAATTAGTAATATAAGATTCGAGTAATTCGAGAATGAGTCCCTCGCTCTTTGTTTATAATATATTTTTATAGAAGAAAAGAAAGTTTGTAATTCTCCTTTTATAATTCTTTATACACTTATTTAATTAATTAAACCAATATTATAAGTAATACGGACACCTAGTAGATATATATATATATATATATATATATATATATATATATATATATATATATATATATAATTTGTTATATTGAGTGATTTATCATTGTTTCATTAGAATGATTGGATTTATCAAAAACAATAACAATGAAAAACAATATAATCGATCTTAAATAATTAAAATTTATGAATATTTATATTATTGTTGTATTGGACTCATCCTTTATGGAGTTTGAACTTTTTTGCACGCAATTGACATCACAAAACAATTCAATGAGTCCAACAACACAATGACCTGTCAACATCCACTTGTCAAGTAAATTAATGTTCGGAGAAATAAGAAAACCCATATGTGCCAACCGAAAGGAGTCATAAAGAATAATAATGTGAGACCCTATCGAGCTCACATAGCATATGAATGAATGTCACTTTGCTATCCTAACAAAGTCAATTACTTCAATACTTTTATCAGTTAAGTATATAAATAATATATGCATAATTGATTGATCGTATGAATGAGTGTCACTATGTTACCTAATAATAACATAATCTTTCGTTGATTGATATATAAGATGAATCAATCTAATTATAAACCTCCATAAAGATGTTTAAGCTTATACGAAAAATATATACAAAAATTATAATCTATATAAAAGCATCGTTATTCTTCATATGAATTAGCTTATCTTCGATGAAATTTTAAATATGTATTCTTATTAGTTTGAAAATAAGAATGAGTTAAAAAACTTAAATTTTATATAAGTTATATTATTTTTAAAATCTCTATAAAACTATTATAGGATTATATAAAAATAAACTGGATTCAACTTATAGCTTAATTCATTATGAATATATCCCATGCTAAAGAGATTAGATTATTATCATAAGGATTTTTGGAACTAAGACAAAGAGAGATATTTATGGAGAAAATAAAAAATACCGCTATAAAAAAAAAGTTCAAAATGAATTTTTTTTTCTATTTTATTAAAAATTGAGTATATACTTACTTGAACCGATCTACGTGAAAACCACGTGCTCTTATCTCTCCAGCGGCTTATCACCGACGATAACTTATTGCAACTCCAATCGACTCTTCGCGACGTGGCCCCCACCCAGCTGGTGCAGAGCTTTCCGGCCCCCACCGCTGATACGCCCTCTTCCCTCATTCGTCGCGTCGCGTCCACGTGACACGCGTACCGCTCTTCCGGTCGCTGCTTTTTGTGGTGCACGACCCCCCGTCCGGAACGACGATCACCGTCCGATGCTGAGCGTTATTGTGCGCCGTCCCCATCGGACGGTGCTCGCCTCTCGCAGCCACTTCTAAGTGTATTTTGATCACCAAAGCGATCCGATTCACGCATTCAAGAAAGGTGGGCCCCGCGATTAATTTGATAGGGGCGGTCACCCGAGGAAGACGAGTACGGATCGAAGGAAGTTCAAGATTCGTGGAGATCCCATCCGTCCGATTGTAAGACCGCCTGATCTGACCGTCCACGTCGTCAAATATGTGAGGGAATAGTCCCGGTAGGATTGGCACCCGCTTCGCTTTATAGTATGCCAAGCTACGATGTGCATAAGCAGCGGTTTAGAGAGAGAGAGTGTGAGAGAAAGGGGTGATTTTGGACCGTAGAGGTCGAATCGGAGCGCTATGAGCGGCCCATTGATGAGGGACTACGAGATCGGGGAGGAGATCGGGCGGGGGCGGTTTGGGGTGGTGCGGCGGTGCAGATCGGCGGCCACGGGGGAAGAGTTCGCCCTGAAGTCGATCGAGAAGTGCCTCCTCGCCGACGCCGTCGACCGCGAGTGCGCGGAACGGGAGCCCAAGGTCCACCACCTCGCCGCCTCCGGCAACCCTCACGCGGTGCAGATCCACGCCGCCTACGAGGACGAGGCGTGGGTGCACCTCGTGGTGGAGCTCCTCGATGGACCAGACCTCTGCGACCGGATCGCCGCCCGAGGGGGGACGCCTTTCGCGGAGCCGGAGGCGGCGGCGTTGGTGGCCTCGCTGGCTGAGGCCGTGGCGGCGTGCCACCGGGGAGGGGTGGCGCACCGGGACGTGAAGCCGGACAACGTGCTCTTCGACGCGAGGGGCCGGCTCAAGCTGGCCGACTTCGGGTCGGCGGAGTGCTTCGTGGGCGACGGCGGGGACCGGGTGCCGATGAAGGGCATCGTGGGGACGCCGTGGTACGTCGCACCGGAGGTGGTGGCTGGCAAGGCCTACGGGGAGAAGGTGGACGTTTGGAGCTTGGGGGTGGTGATGTACATGTTGCTGGCAGGGGGGTTGCCGCCCTTCTACGGAGAGACAGCGGCGGAGACCTTCGAGGCGGTGTCGAGGGCCAATCTGCGGTTCCCGCCGAGGGTCTTCCGTTCGGTGTCTCCGGCAGCGAAAGACCTGCTGCGGCGGATGCTCTGCAAGGACGTCTCCAGAAGGTTCTCCGCCGATCAAGTCCTCAGTTAGTACTCATTGATCTCTCTTCCAGCTTCTTTCCTAACAAGATTTCACCGATTTAAGCGTTTGTTAGCTCTGATTTCTCGGATTTTTAGGACTTCATTTATTTTCTTTATTTAAGGGATTATTCCAATAAAAAACTGCGATTTTTCCCTTCAATTTGTTCGATCATTGCGAAAATTGTTCTGAGAAATCATTCTTTCAGATTTTTCTTCTGTTTATGAATCTAATTTCGATCACCAATAAAGTCCACAAATGCAATATAATTATTTATGATGCTAAGATTTTGATTCTTGGATTGCAACAACAGGGCATCCATGGATTACAAATGGAGGAATGAGTCCAGCAGAAGGAGCAACCCGAGACGCATCGCTCTCCGCCGATAGGCACGACGGTACTCTTTTGGCCTGCGTCGCTTGTGACTGAGTCCGTGGAGGTCGCCATTTTGCGTGAGGTGCGGTGGATCTTCTCCACCAGAGTGTACATAGTAATGTAAAAGCTTCAGTCACCGTCCCTTTTCTCATGTATAAAGCGGAGCTTTTGCCTTGCATTCCAAGACAGGGGATTCGATAGGTGCACTCTCTTATTCTCTTCCAGAAGGCGAAGGTGAGCTGCCGGCAAACTCCACTAACCATTCCTTCTTCACCTCGGCCTGGTTTGGCAGGTGCCTTCAAAACCAGATGCTGCATGGAGGTGTTTTGAGCCTTGGCATGCACTTGGACACCTGTGGTCTGTATGCCACTGGGAAAAGCTTGCCCCTGACCATGGACGCTTGATTGCTGTGGTTCACTGTTCAAGGAGCTGCCCTTGCTTGGCACTTGTGAGTACCTGCCATGGCATGTTGCTTTGATACCTATTTGCTCTCGATGATACTTTAACTGATCCCCAGTCATATCACTGAGCATGCTATAGTGTGTTAAGATTGTGATTCTATAGTGTGATCTTGCTTTAGAAAAACTTGGACTAGAAACAAAAGTCTTTGGCTAGAAGGATACCCCCTCCAAGGCTGAAGTGGAACTTGGAATATTTGGTGGTCTAAAAGGAAGCAATCAATGATTTGGCCACTATTCTAGCATTCAGTATACCCTACATGCATGGGTTACCTTAGTGACAAAGGACATAGACTTAGTTACTACTGTATACCTTTCCAAACTCTGATGCAAGAACTCTTGTTTCTAACACCTGAGAGCATGCTGGAAGGGCTGAGGTCCTCTCTCATGCATGTCAATTGTCTCTTCAAATTCTCTACTGCTTGTCCATAACATCTGATACCTCACTGCTCTTTGCTCTGTGTGTGTGTGTGTGTGTCAACATGAATGGTGTCCTAAGAAAACCCAGCATCTGTCAGACAGCTCAGTATATAATATATATATATAATAAACATATCATCAGCTTGATCAGGATGATGAAGAGAATTGCTTGAGTTTGGAATGTTACATAACCAAGATTAGGTCACTAGTGGACATCAACTAAGCGACACATGCATGCCCAACCAAAAGCCATTCAAACCTTGTAATCAACCTACTCCACATCGTCTCTTTGCATCGGCTAACTCACTTGGGAGGTGGTCCGGCGGCCATGGGTGGCGCAGGCGGTCCGTAGTACATAGGCGTCGACTCCGTCCTGCCCTTTCTCCGGCCGAGTAGGTAGCAAGCAAGGGCCAGGATCGCCACCAGCAGAATCAACGGCACCGATATAACCACCACGAACCCCATCTTCTTCTTCCTCCTCCGCCACTCGACCTCGTTAGCACATCAGCATGCGCACAAATCTACCACGGAAATATGGCTGAAGAAAACGAAATAAACCGCTAACACGACATACCTCTTCGGATGGGGCAGGAGAGCACCACCTGAGATCGCAGGTTTCCTTCTTCCTCTGTGACTGTGGACAGGTGAGAGAGAGAAGAAGAAGGAATGGGGTTATCGGTTGGCCATCGTTTAAAGAACACAAAAGCGATGGCAGACACCAGATGGCGTTTGCTCATGGAAGACTTGGATGACTTCTCTTCTACTCGGACAACGACAACTGTGACAACAGCTTGTCCTTATTATAAATTCTATTTGAAGACACAGGAAATAATCTAAATAGATTTTTAATCTCAATCAAACAAATTATTTGTTTAAAAATATAATTTTATAATGATCTATAAGCAATAATAATAAAAAAAGATATGATATTACCTATAGTATTTTAGTATATTAATAAAAATATTATAAAATATTAAAATGAATCAAGTAAAAATATTATAATAATTGAAAACCAATAAAAAATTGGTAAAGAAATTTTTGAGAGGTATTTTAGGTGTTTTCAAATTTTGGATATTGTTTGGAAAAATTAAAATATATATATTTTTGAAAAAAATCTGAAATATAAATATTTCTTTTAGAAAAATCGCTTCTGTTTATATGATTATTTTGAATTATATTTGATAGGGGTAAAAACAGATTTGACGTAACACACCGGATTCGACGTAATACACCACGACGTCAGCCACCCCTGGACGGCATACTGCCCCAGGGAGCGAGCATTAACACCAGCATAATGTGCACCCACACCCGCCGTACCCAGACGACCTCATCGTCTGACCCCGCACGACCGGCCGAGACAGGGGAAGGCATCGACTGAAGCTCGCCATACCCTGCAACAGCTCGGCCTTCCACGCAACGCCCACGACGACGACATACGCCATCAGAAGTACGACCCTGCTCCGACAGAATGACACATCAGGTAACATCAAACTCACCTATAAGTACCCTCTGGCTCCCAACGAATAGGGGGGACACCACTTCACCCAAAAACTCCTCTCCCAATCACTGACTTGATCGTCGGAGGGGTCGGGCCGAACCGCCGACCCGACCTGTGTGCAGGTACTCGACCGAAGCCGACCCAACCCGGCGTCGTGGAACTTTCCAGCCAGACCCCCTGCAATCGGTCGCCACAAGATCCCGAGAGGAATCACGCCTGATCCCAACCGTTTGGACCCCTGAACCAGCCGCGTCGACCCCGAGGTCACGGCTAAAAAGGTTACTTACCATAACAGATTGGCGCTAGAAGGAGGGCCCGTCCGAATGTCAAGCGATCAGCGAATCCACTTTGTCGAGCCCTCAGCCGTCGGGCTCCCCACCCCGGGGGAACACCCCCGCATGATGAAACCCGTGACGAACGCCCCGCAATGACGTCAGAACGTTACTGGCAATTGTTCAATGACCCAGGCTTGTCACCTCCCGACGGCGCACCCGCCGGCCCATCACCGGTGTCACCCGAGGCCTTTCACGACCTCGCTCATCAAGTCCGAGCTCTGACGAGTATGGTGCAGACTATCATCTCGATCGTCTCCCAGCGGACCCCTCCGCATATGAGTCGACCTTCGCAGCAACAGGAGACCCTCGTCCGGACTCACGTACCGCTTCCCGGGCTCCCTGGCTCGCCTCGAAACCCGATAACTCGGCCCGGGAGCCGGGGTGCAGAAGACACGACGAGCCGCCCCGAGCGCGAGGCTCCGTCTGCCGACTCTACAAATGTCCTACGAGCTCAGTTGCGCCTCGTCAGTCAAAGACTCGACGAAGTACAACAGGAAGTTCGTAAGTCAAAAAAGAGAGCTCGGGGTAGACGGACAGCAAGGATCCTCGTTCACCCCCGAGATCCAAGATCAGGCGATCCCGTCACACTTCCACCTCCCCTCGCTGGATGCGTATGACGGTGCCGCTGACCCAGCGGACCACGTGGCCGCTTTTCGTGCCCAGATTATGCTATATGGGACTTCTGATGCCTTGATGTGCAGGGCGTTACCAACAACCCTACGGGGGCCAGCCCGCGTGTGGTACAGCAGCCTGAAGGTCGGGACCGTCGCCTCCTTCGACCAACTCGCCAAAGATTTCAAGCTTAACTTCCTGGCTTACGCTCGACCAAAGCCGCCTGTGGCATTGCTCCTCGGACTCAACCAAAGGGAGGACAAGCCCCTCTCCCATTTTGTGAACCGCTTTGCGACGCAAATTCGTGGGCTGTCGGATGCTCACCCCTCTCTGTTGATGCAGACATTCATGACAGGCCTGCGGCCTTCCAGGTTCTTATGGTCTCTCGTGGAGTGGCCCCCCGCCACGGTCCCCGAAATGCTTCAACGTGCTAGCTAGTTCATCGCCGCGGAGACATGAATGGCTGGGAAGCGGGAGGAGCACAAAAAGGTCAAGTCGGAGCCGCCCCGACAGCAACAACCCGCCACGTCCCGGCGTAAGTTAGACAGATCCAACCCAAGGCCTCCTCTCCCCGCCTTGAATTCATCCCGAACGGAAATATTTCTCCATAAGAACGGGAAGGGGCTACTCAAGGACCCTCACCCGATAAGAAACCCGCGAGAGCTCGCGGACCATTCAAAATATTGTCGCTTCCATCGGCAACATGGACACGACACTGAACAGTGCCGTGAACTGAAAAGGCAAATTGAGGAGCTCATCCGCAGAGGGCATCTCGGCCAGTACCTTCAGCCGGACAAAGAGCAATCACCTCGCCCGGAGGGCCCCATCGAGCGACATATCGACGTAATCGCTAGCGGTCCCGCGTCGAGGGGGGGGGCTCCACGTCAGGAAGAAAGTCGTACGCCCGAGCCGCTCCAGACGTAATCCCCGGACACGGGCCCGAGCCCGAGATCACTTTTCCGACCGAGGTATCCGAGCGACCCGAACACGACGACGCCCTTGTGATATCGGCTAGGGTAGCCAACGCGCAGGTGAGAAGAATCATGGTCGACACTGGGAGCTCGAACGATATACTTTACTTCGACGCCTTCTAGAAGCTCGGCTTGGCCAGGGAGAATATGAGGCCGATGTGCTCAGCGCTCACCGGATTCACAGGAGATTCGATATCACCCCTGGGGGCTTTTACTCTGCCCTTGACCCCAGGGGCCCCACCGAGGTCGAAGACGGTGATGACCACTTTTTTGGTGGTCGACCTTCCCACTGCTTACAATGCCATACTCGGTCGGCCGACCCTCAACAAGGTCAGAGTCGTCGTCTCGACCTACTACCAAACCATCAAGTTCCCAACTCACGCTGGGGTCGGAGAAGTTACGGGAAGCCCCCGAGAGTCCAGGCGGTGCTACCTGACCGCCGTTTACATTACACAAGAGGGCCAGGATCGAGCCGCCGCTAGAAGATCCGCGGGAAACAAAAATTCGGCCCCTCACCCCGAGCCAAGGGGATCCACCGTTGATATACCACTACAAGAAGCTCGGCTTGACCGGACGATCAAAGTTGGTTCGGAACTACCCGAACAGGAACGAGAGCAGCTCGTCGGTCTCCTGCGTGAAAATGCCGACATCTTCGCCTGGTCCCCATCTGACATGACGGGCGTCGATCCAGGAGTCGCACAGCACCATCTCAACATCCCACCTGACGCTCGCTCGGTGAAGCAAAGACCCAGGCGGCAGGCCCCTGATCGGCAACGCGTCATACGAGAGGAGGTGAGCCGTCTCTTAGCGGCAGGCTTCATAGAAGAAGCTAGATATCCTCAATAGCTGTCCAATGTAGTCCTCATGAAAAAACACAATGGAAGCTAGAGAATGTGCGTTAACTACACTAGTCTCAACAATGCTTGCCCGAAAGACCGCTACCCCCTCCCGAGGATCGACCAATTGGTCAACGCAACGGCCGGACACGCACGCCTCTCTTTCATGGACGCCTATTCGGGATACAACCAGATCAGGATGGCACCCGAAGACAGAGAGCATACGCCCTTCCTCACCGAGCAAGGGGTGTACTTCTATAAGGTCATGCCGTTCGGGTTGAAAAACGCCGGGGCCACATATCAGAGAACGGTGAATAAGATGTTCGCCCATCAGATCGGAAGGAACATGGAGGTCTACGTAGACGACATGATCGTGAAAAGCCAAGAGGCCGGAG